ATATTTAACATCTATTCGATCTTTTAAAGATTTTTTTTTAACTTTTTTGTTTTTCGTCTAATGGGATTGAAACTTTCGCACAGGATTGTGTGTGCAGTGAAATATTTATTGCTCCTGTTATTTTGGATACTACAAAATCGCCAATTAAAAGGTAATATATCATTCATCATATCTTTATACGTGTATGTCAGTGCAGTATCATGGATCAGTCCCTGGTTTTTACGTCATCTACTATTTACCCACGGACCTTACTCATGAGAAAGTTAGGTAAAGAAAAAAATACAATGTAGCATGACAGAAAGTTAAGGTGACAGGCTGCATGAAAAACTTGACAGTTTAAGCTTTGCCATCTCTTAATGTCTTGGGAAAATTCATACGACAATACAAAAATAGCTTATGAGTCATTCCATATGAAATCGTCTAAAAAAAAAAAAAATGTTTTTTGTAGCTCCACTATTTTAGATTTTGCTTAAACTTTGTGAGAATCTTCTTTAGGGTTCCCAGGAGGGAAATCCACCGTCATTTAATTTTCGCATGCTTCAGTTCCCGCCTGCCCGAATTAAAGCATTTAAAAAACATCATTTTTATGCTTTAATATTTCTAGCTGTAAAAATTTTTCTAAGATATCTACACATTCAAGATGGCATTTCAAAGCTGAAAGATAGTAGTTTTTGTGCAAAGAATATAAATTCACACAATCAATACTCCCGAAAAATAACACGGTGCTGAAAATACGTGTATTTTACTGATTATTCGTCATCTTTAACTGACTCCAGTGTCTCGACTGTTGAATGCAACCTGCTAATATTTCTCAGAGATCAAGTGCACTTATTGTGAAAGAAATAAAACCTACAATTGACCCGTTCAGCCTACTCTATATAAAAAAATCTCTGCTTGAAATTTTAAAATTATAAAAAATAGCATTATTTAGGTTATAATATAAATGTGTTGGCTACGAGAAAAAAATATGAAACTTACAGGATATTTAGTTCTTACCTTGAACTTCAAAAGCATGTAGTGCTCGTTTTGTTATTTTCATCCTTTGTGCATGTACAGGTGGTTTAAAAGAAGCAAAAATATCAGCCATTTGTTTATTTTTAAAATAAACGTAAACTATGCACTTTTTGAAAAGTAACGCTGTTAATAAATATTACTACTAGCAGCAAAACGCTCACACCCTATGATTTCTGTAACAATGACAATAGCGTTAGAACAGGAGCGTTCTTCGACACCGTCAGATGATCTATTAATAAGCAAATAAAAAGTATTATAAATGTCAAACTATACTACTTACTTAGATAATTTGATTGTTAACATACTCATAATTTCATAAAAAGAAATTATATAATTTCACATTCAAAATTATTCTTGTTCTTAATATTATTCTAACCAACACACAAAAACATAAGAAAGAAAACAGTAAAGATAAGAATATATTAAATTACAATGAAAAGGTAATATGTAGTTTCTGTAGGTTCTGTAAGGATTTTCATGTTAAAAATAATCAATTATAAATAATATTATTGAACTAGAAAATAAACAAATAACTGATATTTTTGCTTTAAAGAAGCAAATTTTCATCCCCTGTGCGTGTACAGGTGGTTTAAAGAACCACCTGTACACGCACAAGGGATGAAAATAACAAAACGAGCATTACAGGCTTTTGAAGTTCAAGGTAAGAACTAAATATCCTGTAAGTTTCATATTTTTATCTCGTAGGTAACACATTCATATTATAGCCTAAATAATGCGATTTCTTAAAATTTCAATATTTCAAGCAGAGATTTTTTTTATAAAGAGTAGGCCGAACAAGTCAATTGTAGGTTTTATTTCTTCCACAATTAGTGCACTTGATCTCTGAGAAATATTAGCTGATTGCATTCAACAGTCGAGACACTGGAGTCAGTTAAAAATCACGAAAAATCAGTAAAATACACGTATTTTCAGCACCGTGTTATTTTTCGGGGGTATTGATTGTGTGAATTTATATTCTTTGCACAAAAACTACTATCTTTCAGCTTTCAAATGCCATCTTGAACGTGTAGATATCTTTAATAGAAAAATTTTTACAGTTAAAAATATTAAAGCATTAAAATGACGTTTTTTAAATGCTTTAAATCGGGCAGGCGAGAACTGACGTATGCGAAAATTAAATGACGGCGGATTTCCTTCTTTGGAACCCTAAAGAAAATTCTCACAAAGTTTGAGCAAAATCTAAAATAAGCTGGTTTTACCGATTAGACAATTTCATATGGAATGACTTATTCAAGAAATATGATGATTACATGGCTGATTAGCAGGTAAGTATAAAACAGATATACAATACTACAATGTTCTACTATCATTATATTTTATTGTAAGTTTTAATTTGAATGTTAAGAATGTTAGTTTAGGTTCCATGGACACTTGTGCGTGTACATAATTTAATAAGCAATAATTAAATTTGAGTTTAGTCAAGAGTTTGCGAAGTCAATAACTTAAATGTAAGATTAGAATCATTGATTTGTTTTTAAAATTCTGCACCACAAATGGCAATAAAATACAGTGACTGACTCAGGGTAAATATAAAAAATGCCTTTAAAAGGAGTCTCAAGCTTGGGGGACGAATGTAATACAACAAAGTAGCTAAAATTTAATTAGAAACAGTATAGGTACTAAAATTTTTTATATATCATTATTTTTGATACTTGTAACCACTCCTATTCCTCAAATATAAGATTTGACAAAATTTATAGAACTGAGACAGTCACTTTCAAAATTGTAGTTTTTTTACCATCGCTCAACAAATAAATTTGTTTCCACAGTTAAAAAAGAACAGTTAACACAAGGAAATGTATTAGCAATTAACCTCAAAATGTATGTTTAGGTAGAAGTGCAAAAGTAGAATATTGGTTAAGTGCAATAAAGGATAACTTAGAACAGTTTCATTATAAAAAATATACCTATTTTTAAATAATTGGACAAACATAAATTTGCAAACACAATAGTTTGATTTGTTTAAAAAATTAAAAAAAAAATAGTGTAGATACATTTTTTTGTACTCAATTTTTAAAAATATACAATAATTACTAACCTTTACACAAAACTCTGAATTCATTTTTAAATAAAACATATTATGAACGAAAACAACACCTCAACTAAACTAGTTATTATTCTATACTAGTATAATCTATTGTTATAACCAATTGATTACAATGTTGGCTCCTTATTTTTATGGAAATGGTGTATCAATTTATATATCTTAACATGCTATGAAAGCAGATAACACTAAGTGAATTAATTTCTTATGCAGGAAGTAACTGATGTGATAATAATCGACTCTGGAGATTTTAATAATTTTACCAAACTTTATAGCTATACACGTATATAGAATGTAATTAATATAATAATTAATATAATATAATGTAATTATTATAATATTCAATACATAATATTTAAATGCATTTTGCCTAAAAATCTTTTGGGAAATTAATTGTTGGAAAATGCATTAATAATTCTCAACAGGATATAACAGTTAAAAATGAAATGGGCCTTTCTAACAAAGCCTCCAGAGAATAATTAACCATTTATGAAATAAAATAATTATAAGGCATTATTATTGATTAAATATTTATTTGCAATAAACAGTGTGTTCATGCCATACTTATAAAAGAATCTGATCAAAACAAAATATTTATAATTAAAATTCAACCAACTTACAGGTAATTCCCCTTTAGGAATGTGACTGCTAAAAATAATAATTGATCAGCTGTATTGGCTTAAATATTAATTATTCTCTAGCTGTGCCTTTTGATTCACAGATTAACATCTTTTGTATATATTATCTTGTACAGAATACATAGAATATAATTAATATAATATTTACATTTACTTACATAAATAAGCATGTCAACACAATTCCAATGTATGTATGTATTCATAATATTTAGCATTAAATCACACAATCATATTAATATTAACAAATAACAAATTATAGGTCATTTAGGTCACAGTGATCTTACAATTAAAATAACTGTTTGTTGATGTTTATTATTTTCAATAGAACTGATTAAAAATATAAAAACATATTTAGAGCTTACTGTCTTTAGAAATGACCTCCTGCTTCAGGTTTTTTGCAATAATTGTTGTTTATTATATGAGGAGCGATCCATACAAAACACAATAAATCCATTTTTTACTTATTTTAAGTTAGATACAGTGCATCTATTTTAGATATGAAATAAATTCAACGGCGGTATCAGAATCATTAAAAACACAATAATTCCCATTAAAATTTAACCCCGAATGTATGCGGTTCAATCAAAAAATAATAAATCCAACCTTATGCACAATTTATTTCAATCAAAATCCAGAAGAAGATGAAGAGCGAGAATGTGACTGTTTGGAACCTGATCATGGTGCCCACATTCAATTTTTTTGGTGAATTTTAGTTCTTTTTATTAGCAAAAGTATTTTTAGTACCATCTACCAGATGTTTTTACGAACTATAGGTTATGAATGTGAATTTTTTTTTTAAAAAATGTGACTTTTCTTTCAAACTAATAAATTCTATCATATTATAAATGAAGCAAACTGTAATATATCCATTTGAGTCAATCAAAATGCAACAAATCCATTTTTTTTTTAAAGGAATTACTCCTCATATACCACAAAACATTTCTTAATTAATATGTATTAATTATGTTCTATATATTGTACTCATTATTACAAATAGGTATTTTTATATTCTTAAAGACATTTCTGGTAGAACTTTTTTTCAATTTACACGAAATTGTTCTAAGTGGATTTATTGCGTTTTATATGATCGCTCTTCATATAATGATTATAAATATATTTACTTATTAACCAAATATAATTAAATTAAAAATTGAAATTAAACACCACTCCTGTATCCCTGAAGTTTCCTCAAGGTACCTTGCGTGGAAGAAGGCTAAGCTTTTAGAGACAATGGACACACACTCAATGTGTGCTAGGATTAATTTCTGGTTTGGAAAAAATCCTAGCTTCTCGGCCGGGGACCGAACCCGGGACTCCAGGATGAAGCAAGTGTCTTTACCACTCGACCACGAAGCCACAAATAATAATATATACCATACATACATAATAACTTATTGAAATCGTTATATCCTATCTTAAATTTAAGACTTAACTGAAAATTGTAAATGTTTTTCAGTGCTATGAAATAATGTTTTGTACATTAATTTGCGTTGTTCCAAAAGGGCAAAAAACCTCAAGAGGTTGCCGAGTTTAACTTTATTTATTGTATCAAAAACTTTTGTTCCATAAATGCTTTTAGGTTCATACTCGTTCTGTTCCTTATTGCTAAAACAAATTACAAGGGATATCTAGTCACTAAATATTAAAATCATATTTTTAACAAAAAATAAATAAACACTAATTTTGTTTATAGATACCAAAACAAAGTAGTTTCCAAAACTGTGTCCAGAAAACAGTATTTCTGTATATCATAAAAGAACAAAATATCTCTTAAATTATGATTAATTAGAATGTCCTCTAACACAGTAAAGTAATAACAACTACATCGACAGATATCTATATACATATTACTTTCTAATAAATTTATCCTATGATATTTATATAAGAATTTTTAAAATCAATCAAAACAACATTGATGTAAATTCAATCAACTTCAAATTAAATCCTTCACATTTATTTATGCAACTGCTTTTCAAGGAGATGACTAATACCTAGGAATACTTTAATCATCTAAGGCATGTTTATGATGAATATTTAAAAAAACTAATATTTATTGTGTTATTTTATCATAAAACAATTACGAATATTAAAATAGAAAATTACAATATGTAATTATTTTAAAGTTAATATAAATTCACAAATTGAAATATACCTTAAATGGAAATAATTTCATCAGGTGTGTTTGGTCAATTACTGATTAATGAATAGTGGCTTCATTGTACCATTTGTTGGGTAGATAAAGCTTAGTAGCAGTACAAACATTGTCAAATACACAACCTAAAAATATTTTGAAATTTCTAATAATCTTCTATACAGGTTGTCCCAAAAAGAGCACTTATAAAATGGCAAATATTAACTTTAGAAAAAAGTTATAAAAAAGAAAATGTATGTTTTGACCATTTTTTGGTTGTTAATTTTTTTATCTCCAATTTAGGTATAGCAGTGCGCAAAAATTTTGAAAAATATTTTCTCTTCAGATAAACTATACTTTTCACGTCCTATCAAAAATAGGGTCAATGAGGGTAACTGTGATAGGAAAATCACAAGTTTATGTTTGTTTTTAGATTACACAGACATTGTTGTAAATATCTAAATGAAATTTTAATTGTGTAATCTTAGTAATGTTCTGTTTAAACATTTTATGCGGGATTATCTCTAAATTGCCTTCTCTTTTTTTTTACATATAATTCTTGTTTTGCCACCTACTGTCACAGTTACCCCATCATGTCGGGGTAACTGTGATAGATGATGGGGCTAGTGTGATAGCCGTGCATTTTCTTAAAAATTATTCATTTGACTGTAATGGGCTGACTGTAATAAAAAAGAGCAGATTTTGTTTACTTAGTACAAACATTTTTAAAGCTTTATTTTAATATTTAACATTACAAAAGAGCAAATGAAAATAACTTCATATAACTTTAAAGAGAATAATGCACACAAAATAAGACAATGGTTCAAATACGTCTACAGGATCAGGAAAAACATATTTTATTCGTGCACCTTGGGTTAAAAGTAGGGGTTCTTCTAAAATTCCAACAATTTCATTGGTAGAAATAAGAGACTTATCTTTTTCGACTATTACAAAGGCAGTTTTATTATTTTCTACACTTTTTAAACCCATTACTTCTAACTCGTTATTTGAATCAACTTCCGATTGTATAATACAAACAAAACGAAAAGTTGTTTGATTTCTTTTGTCCCCTTTAAAACAAACTAACACGAAAGTTCCCTTCTTTAAATCCTCATTTTTAGCGGACAATACCTTCGTTGGTTCCATTCTGGGATCTTCTGGTGCATAATCGCTATCTCCCGATGATGCTGTTAATATTTCTGACTCATCTGTATTACTACTGTCAGTATTCTCAGCTTCTCTTGATTTCGGTTTCTTCTTAGGATCCGTCTTAATATTTTTCTTCCTTTTTACAGACAAACTTTTCTTTTTTGCCACCTTTTCTTCCTTTTTCTCTTTAAGTTTTGCCAACTTTTCTTCTTCTTTCTTTTTAAGTGTAGCCAGGTAACTTTCTTTTGTTATAATCTCTGCTACGTCAATCCTTCTTTTTTACACTTTTTATTACTGCAGTTTGAGTGACTTTTTGTAATAACAAATTTTGGAAGCATGTACCAGGACTCGATTCCATCTCAGAATTATTATCATTTAAAGATATATTATTGGGTTCTCTGGATGTACTCGGCATATCTTCAGATAAAAGTGAATGATCTATAGAAGCTAACATTTTGTTCACTTGATCTCTTTTTTAAAAAATCCCTATACCTCTTAAGTTTGTCTGGATGGTAACTGCTAACAAGTCTATTGCATCACAATTACCCCACCTGTTGCTATCACAGTAACCCCCTAGTGTTTATTTATAAGGGGTGACTGTGATAACAAAAAAAAAATTTTTTAGCAAGCTAAAATCGGTTTTGCTATTAGAATTCATCTAGCATACCTTTCAGATCAAAACAATGTAAAGAGGTCATCTAAATAACGTTTAACAAATGAGATACTTAAATTTTGAAGTAGTGTAAATTAATTTAAAAATTGGAATAAGAATTACATATGAAAACTACTTGACAAAACTTTTATATTATTTGCTGTTTATTTTTCATATTTTAATTTCAGTATTATTACCTAACATAGTAAGCGTTAGTGGCAAAATATTTCTTGTTTCTCAATAAATTTTAATTTTATTTGCGGGTATCGCACTCACCCCGAAATCACAGTTACCCCCATTGACCCTATCAAAGGAAAAATTTTCTTAGAAATCAATTTTATAATGGCATGCCAAAAAAACCAGATATAAAATTGCATCCTTAGTTTAAGATTAATATATCCTCAAAAGAATATCACAAATCATAACTTGTATACTTTATTAAATAATCTGATTTGAATTTTTTTCCAACTAGATTTTTAAGAAAATGGTTTTTAAGTATATTTTTTATTTAATCATTATTTTCTTATTATATAAAATTTAAAACAGTACAAGTACAACTAAATATCTTGCCAAAGATTATAATTTTCAATTAAGAAACATTACAATGAACTAAAACAAGTTGTAAATTTGACTGTGACTGTATTCCTTCGCAATTTCTTACACAAAATGCAAAAAATAACCATAGCCTACATTAAATAGAAAGTTACTCAACCTAATGTAGGGAGGTCATTCAATAAATAAAAAAGGGTTAAGATTAATTTCATTTCATTACAAAAGCAGCAAATTTCACTAATTTTGTCATCTGTCAATGAAAAATTAAATCAATGAGTATGCGTGTCATTTCAGATCAATCTGTGCAAATATGTGCATAAATGGTTTTTGCAAAACATCCAAATTATTTGAAAATTTATTCGTTAAAATTACGAATATTCACGAACTTTTTAGTGTTCTTATAGAAGAGTGCCACACTTTTAGCATAATTTAGTGCAAAATAATACATTTTCTATACATAATTTTAATTTTAGAGATACATATATTCTAGTAAAATCATGTCAAACTGAAAAACATAATTTGTATCTCTTTATTTTTTTAATAAGACAAGGATTTGAATAATGAATCTCAATTTCATTTTGTATGCAATGATATATTTTTTTTTTTTGCATAATTATAGCATTTTCAACTCGATTTTCAACATACTCAATCAACAGCTTTTTATTGATCCTAAATAATTATTACTTTTTATCCATCAGGATGACTGGCAAATAAAAAAATATATATTATACAGTATTTCAGTATAGTCGGGGTATAGTCCAAAAAGAGAAAGAGCTTTGTAAAAATATGACGTTTCCTATTCCAGATTGTAACCCACATGGATCTGGTGCAAGGAGGTATTACATATTTTGGTTTAGGGATAATAACATGAGATTACTATCTTTAAAATAATTATTATAAAAGATTGAATTGGAGATTAATATTTGTACTAGGTATATTATGATATAGATTATTCAACTCAAAATGAATAATCTTGCAAATACTGTATTAAATTCCAATTATTTATAAAATAATAAAAGATATGAGAGATTACCTACTTTGTTTAAAAGCAATATTATAATAGATAATAGATCTTTTTTTATATCAAGTATGATACAAAGTCATTTAGAAATGTACACAGGGCAACAGTCAAATATTATAAAGGATATATTATTATAGAGAATATTAGAAAAGAATATTCCAAAAGTTCTAATAATATATCCGGAAAAACTTTGCTATGTCTACAGTACATTAACAAGTGTTAGTGTATTGAAAACACACCAAAGTTTTTCTCAATGTGTGGCACGACTAGATCTCCTCATCCAGGATATCTCATCAGCTTGTTACAGCACGGTGTTGAACCCGAGTGGTCTGGGTGGAAGAACCTGTCACGATGAGCATCACTGCCCCAGACACCACCGAATCGATACAAACTATAATATTGATTGCATTATAATATTTTAAACCATACGCTCATACTACTAGGTACTGAAATTAAGCTGCCCGCATTATGTTTATATAATTTATACAAGATATATTTCTATATTCAAGGAGTTATTAGGTATTTCCAAATTGTACACTACAATTCTCCAATTCCTTAATTATAATTGATACCTAAACAAAAAATATGGATGTATTTCTAGGTGTATTTATTTCAAATGGTTTTGATGAGATATAATGATACCAATGATAGGAAAAACTCACCTGTGTTTTATTAATTTTATTTTCAACATCTTGATCTTCTTGATCTTTATTACCGTCTTGACAAGTTTCTAAAATATTATCATCTTCAATTTTCTCTGAATCACAGTCTTGTTCAATATGTTCTTCCTCCACAGACTCTTTAGCAGAATCTCTTTCTAAATCATTATTCGTTTTCTCCATAACAATATT